TATGTAGTTCCTTATTTTCAATTTTCTTTGTGCTGTCAGATATAGAATCTGTTGTATTTTCTGCACTAGCTGTTGACAGAAACATTAAAACCACAACAAAATTAAAATTTGTTAAATTGATTGTTTTATAATAAAAATACATACTATCATCACTATGTAGTTCCTTATTTTCACTTTTCTTTGAACTTTCGAATATGGAATCTGTTGTATTATCTGCACTAGCTGTTGACAGAAACATTAAAACCATATAAAAAATTTAAGTTTATTAAATTTATTGTTTTATAATAAAAATACATACCATCATCACTATGTAGTTCCTTATTTTCAATTTTCTTTGTGCTGTCAGATATAGAATCTGTTATATTTTCTGCACTAGCTGTTGACAGAAACAGAGTTATTGAGTTATGATTATTGATTATTATTATTATTATATTGTTATTATTATTATAAAAAAAATTTGTATATTATAATTTAAACTAATGTGTAATATAGGGTGTAATATGTTATATCCATTAATCCATTGAGATTTCTGGGGGGCTAAATTAACTAAAAAAAACTATAGGTATTTAAATATATAAGATTCTTATGCCAACTCAGTCAAAAAACTGAGGGGCAGTTGCCCGTAGTGCCCCTCTCCAAGATTACGCCTGTTCTATTATTTAAAATAACTCATTACATTAATTAAATTTTTCTGAGGTCTGAGTCTATCTAGACTCTTGATAAATTATTTATTTCTTACATTAATAACTATTAAGAAATTTGTTAGGTACTTACAACTTTGAAAATTGGATGTGCTTGATGTAAAATAATTTTTTATTGAACATTTACTTTTAATTTTTAATAGTTCTGCTTCTTTACAGGCTTTACGTTTTCTCTTTTCACAACCACTTCGTTGACTTGACATATTAAAGTTCTTTGTTGAATACAATTTACATAACACCCGATGTATTAACAAGAATAATATTAAATATAATAAGGTCTGATACTCAGATCATATTATTTCGAGGCACTATAGTATAAAAATATTACAACGTTAAACACGGACACACGGACACACGGTACACTGAACAGAAAAGTGACAAATCACAAATGACAACAGTAAACAGACCGATTAGATTATTGAGGGGACCGTTTATGGTGTTTCATTGAAACTTGAAAGCGAATAATTATAAACGCATGGGTTTTTCCGTGGAGCAGTGTGTATCATAGACCTATTAACAGATATCTGTTAATAGGTCTATGGTGTGTATGCGACATGCGTCCACGAGCGCTTGCTGGTGCAAGTCCGCATTCCGCTTATCTTAAAACGATTTGGGTACCTCGTATAATGTATATTAGAAAATAATCATTTATAGTACCCACATAATATTTCGTACAGAATAAAATTGATCTAATGATAGCTAGGTAAACACAAAATATATTTTAAATTATATTTCACAATCATGAAAAATAAAATTTTAATGATTTCCACGGGCATATTAAAATATATATAGACATTTTACTATGCCCCCAAAAAAGTTCCGGTCGAGCCGGGGCACACCCGGCTCGCCCCGTGCGCACGCCTATGATGTCCGGACTTAGGTATCAGTTATCATACATTTGACTTGTATTCCCTCATTTATGAACTGCCTACATGTTATAAGCCCAGACTTATTATATCAGTACAATTAAAATATATAAGATGTAGGACTTATTACATTTGAGCATAACAATTAACTATAAAGAAATGGACTTATAATGATTTGTGTTGGATTACAAACAACTACAGTGATATTATTTTGTTTTTAATTATCCCCGTTTTGATAAAATAACGAATATTATTATTTATTACTCTTATGACGACTTATCTTGTAATATTAATATTATGGCATAAATAATTATCGTATATCAAGAAATATTATCAATCTTAGCTGAGCTTTGATTGTTCATTTCATAGAAATAGTTAATAGGTATATACCATAAAATTAAGTTCCTTGGAGTTATTATGATTTCAAATGAATAAAATAATATAATATAATATTGTTAATACGGTTGTATGAATTATGATGAGACATTATTATAGAGTCCTGTGGGTAATATCGATTAAAAAAATATAAATAAACAATTTAGTATTTAATAAATATGTGTTTTTCATTTTAATTAAAATACCTAGTACACTATTTCAAGAACTATTATAATAAAAAAACTAAGAGCAAATAAAATGTTGGCTGAGATGGTCAAGAACTTATTTAGTCATTTTTAATACCCAAGATTCGGAATAAATGCATTCGATTATTTTCAATGATAAAATATATAAAATAATAAAATATTATGATACAAGTAAATTAGTTATATTTTTAGCTAAGGAAAAGTGTTACTTTTTATTTTATTAATTTATGTTATTTTATAAGAAGTGAGAATTATTATGTTCTGTAAATAAATGTTTATGTTTCAAGTATAGAAAAATTTTATTTGAATACGTTGAAGAGCTTTTATCAATCAATTGTGTCCTTTAATTTTTTTAAGGTTTTGTGGAAAGAAAATATAATAATTTGTTTGTAAAAAGTAATAGTTATAAGTCCATGTCTACCCAAATTTATTTTGTCACTTAGTGTTAAGTCTATATAATTTTTTAAAAAATGTCATTAAAATAAATAAATAAATATTCCACAAATTCAACCTATACTCCGGCCCACGAGAGTTCATACGTAAACCGCGCATCGATATAGTAATACGCGACTACTGTTTTCATATAAAAATCCTTTAAATCTAAATCTCAAAGTATATCTCCTTATGGGTTAATTTTTAGTCTACAGAGCATTAAAAAAAATATTTACCACACATTCTACATATATGGCCATCCAATATGTTTCACAATGTAATAAGTTAATTTTGAGCTTGAATCTTCATGTATGAAACTACTTGTGCTAGGAGATGTGTCCCTAGAATCAGCCGACAGTTTAGACAAAGGTACAGGTGTCATTTTAACACTAACTGAATTCTAAAAAAACCGTAAATAATATTCTGTAAACTCCCGTTAACTTGGGGAGATAGCATCATAGGTCTATGTGGTCGGGTAGCTCAGTGGTAGAGCAATCGCCCGGCAAGCGAGAGACTCGGGTTCGATTCCCGGTCCGGCGGCTAGATTTTTGACGTTATTTCCCCTGGAGAAGTTAACAATTCTTAGTATGCAAACTTTGATCTAATATATATAATAATTTCCATACCATTTCACTTTGTAGTTTAGAGTTCCAGAATGTATCAGGAGTATCAAATAATTTAAACTGAAATAGCACGTAGTCAAAAAACGTAGTCAAAAAACCCTTGCTGATATATTTTTTATCATTCATACCATACATATCACTTTGGAATTCACTTTCATCACTGCTTAATCCTGGGGTTTCTAAAATTAATATATTTATTATTATATTATTTTACCAGGCTCTTTATTATAATTAACATACCATATTGTACACGTCTAGGCTCCTGTTAAGACTCCCATGAATGAACAAAAATATGTCTTTGTTTTACAAATTTGTTAGGTTCTAAAATATATGCCATGAAATAACGAAAGAATATTTTTTTATTTTGTGGCAAATTTCTATACCCAGACCAAATACAGTATTTTCGACTAAAGCAACATACATCAAATTATATTAATTAAAACAATACAATATAATATTACATAGATTGTTTAATATAAAGAAGAATATATAATTAAATATAATCATACATGGTTAAGGATTAAGTATCTTACAAAATACACATTTGTAAAAATTAAGGTTACTTAATAAGTAATTACAGTTTCAGTAACAATTATAAACTATTACTTGTGGTGTATTTTCCCTAAACTTAAAAAAATGTAATGCCTATAGCTTTGTTATAGTTAGATATTAAATGTCGAACTACAAATTTACACCATACTTCATAAAAAATAAATAGTTCATTTTTCGATTATTTTCTGAAAATAGCGGGCTAATATGGCCTAGAGGTTGCAGTTTGGATCTTCTGGATTGAAGTACCCCATAGAACTATATAAGACACATAAATAAGTTCAGTGTGTGTACCTATTATGGTGTAATATTAAAATATTACAAATTATGCACGTAAAAAAGTTAAATATGTACAACAAAAGTCTGAACTCATTGTATTATAAAAAATGTCTTAACCTTTTCACTGTTACACTATTTACTCTTTGCAACCTGTGCATGCTACATAAAATACAATTTATTTATAATATTTATTACCTTTTTTCTAATTTAAATTTTGAGATCTATATGATCTATTTAAGTTTAAAATAATGCCTGCCGGGGTTCCTAAAATTGTACGGTTACCGGAAAATGATAATATTATAAAATGAAGGAATGTGACTAGAACATTGAAATAGTTAATAAAAATATGTATATTAAAAGTTATTATAATACATTCTAACTTCAATATGTCCCTAGATCTAAGTCTAATAAATAATGGTCACTGTTTTAACAAAGTAAACTTTTAGAATATTATCTTGAAAAAAAAAATTATCAAAAGATTAGACACATACATAGTATATACCTACCAATGTTCAAATACTTGCCACACATTGATAAGTCTTTAAAGTTTTCTATATTTTTATTCTTAAACATAGTCAAATGTGGTCCATCTAAAGAGTTGTTTGTACTAATACTAGTTTATTTAGTTATGATGTGGGAATTTTAGTATATTAAATATTTGAAATTACCAAAACTAAAATTACAACTTTCTAATTTAACCAATCGTTCTTAACTCGATGAGTTACATAAGTTTCAAAAAAAAAATTGAAAAATATGCATGGGCCATGGGGTGGTAAAGTGCACTTTAGCCTTAGTCTGTGACTGTTTATGGTTTACCGGAGTACTAACTGCTATAGTAAGTACTAGCCGATGATCTTAATAATTACGGTAGCTCTACATTATAATATAAATTTTATGAATCTTGTTTTAAATGTAAAGCAGCGTAAATTGTAATTCTTATAATAAAGAGAGTTTGTATGTACCATTGCCATGGAAAATCGTTGTTCTGTTTTGGGATGTTTGAATATTTCTGATGATGGAGTTCGATTACATAAGTATATTATATTCTTGCTTATACCTAGTTTTAATGAAACTAATTGAAATATTATTCTGTATTTTATTATAGATTTCCATTTGATGATGAGAAGTTATTGCCCATTTGGATAATGGCGGCAAATCGTCCAAACTGGTTACCAATTGACAAAAGTAGGATATGTGACGAGCACTTTGATATGGCTGATTATGAAGGTGGCAATAAGGGCAATAGGCTTAGACCAGATGCTTGTCCCATAATCCATCCTACAACTACAATCATTGATGTAAGTAAATGTAATAAAGTATAAAATACATATTATGTATGTATGTTATGAATTATGAAAAATGCTTATGTATATGTATTTGTCTATAGGATATTCAGGGCCGTCCCTAGGGCAGGGCGAGCGGGGCCTTGACCCGGGCCTCCCGCCTTCGCCACAGTTGGACAGGCCCTGCTTTTATAGATACAATAAAAAATCAAATTAATGAGCACAATGTATTATTTATATATTTTTATACATTCAATTTTGTAATTTTTACTACTTAAACCTACTTATATTAATTTAGTTTAGCCGTCAGGACGGCCCTGAGGATATTACACATGGAAAGATATTAGCAGATTCTGAAGACAGTGAATGTTCGTCTACAAGCGATATTAATTCTGATGATTTACTTGATACACCAAATACTAGTGATATGAAATCCAGTGATGATGTTTCAACTCTAAGTACATCATCTTGTAGTAGTTTAACTGTAAGACTATTTTATTCAAATTTATAATAATTTTAATTTTGAGCTATTAAAATGTAGAATTTTTTTTTTTTTAGAATTCGATTTACATCTCCGACCAACCAACAACCAACAATACGATCACAGGTGACTTTGCCGATGACAAAGCTATTATGGCGCTTAACTCAGACCCTGAAATAGCCTCCAACCACATTCAAGTCCACTTAAATCTTCTCCAAACCTGGTATAAAGATTGGGGAATAAAAATAAACGAATCAAAATCAGCCCACTGCACATTCACTCTAAGACCTAGAAACTGCACTACCATAACTCTCAATAACCTACCCATTCCACCCACACAAAATGTCCGATATCTCGGACTCCACCTGGATCGTCGATTGACCTGGGCCCACCACATCCATACCAAACGTATTGCTTTGAATAACCGATCCCGTCAGCTACGTCTTCTCCTTACATCTAAACACATCAATCTGAATAACAAAATACTCATATATAAATTACTACTAAAGCCCGTATGGTCAGGGATGGGCAAGATACTCAAAAATCAGTATCGAGATAGTAGATACTAGATACCTGGATTTGGAGTATCGAGATAATAGATACTCGATACTTGGATTTGGACTATCGCGATACTAGATACTCGATACTTGGCTTTGAACTATCGCGATACAAGATACTCGATACTCGATACTCAATACATTTTAATAAAATTAGTCACTGGATTTTTAAAAATTATGTTTATTATTGTGGGTATGGCCACTTCATTAAGAGGACGCCTCACCCGCATATTGTGTTGTTACCGTCTTACACACATACGACATAGCAAATATTCGTTGGCTAGTTTCAATATGATATTGTCAGTTTTTATATAAGAGTGAATTGACCTATTATCAAACTTTTAGGTAACAACATTATCTGTGTTCTCTCGTTGGTTTTTTACGATATTTTAATTTTTAAGTGAATTATGGGTACCTATGTAAAGTATTCATATTCTAAAATGTTCATAACTCACTTAAAAATTAAAATATCGTAAAAAACCAACGAGAGAACACAGATAATGTTGTTACCTAAAAGTTTGATAGTAGGTTGATTCACTCTAATATCAAAACTGACAATACCCTATTGAAACTAGCAAACGAAAATTTGCCATGTCGTACGTGTGTAAGACTGAGACAACACATCCGGGTGAGACGTCCTCTTAAGTAATTAGAATGAAAAATAAAATAAAAAACATTGACACTTTCAGTAATAATAATACATTAGTCACTTTTCAAAATTGGTTTCTGACTAGTAAAAATAATCGTAAACAATTAATTTTTCAAAGTATCGCGTTAATGTATCGAGTATCTTTCGATTAAATTAATTCATGAAATACTCGATACATTGACTAAAAATGTATCGTGATACAAGATACTCGATACTTCACATAATTGTATCGAGATACAAGATACAAGATACAAATGTATCTAAGATACGTATCTTAGATACTTGTATCGAAGATACTGCCCAACCCTGCGTATAGTCATATGGTATACAACTTTGGGGTTCAGCCAAACCATCTAATGTAAAAAAAATTCAAATATTTCAATCTAAATGCCTTCGACAAATTACCAAAGCCCCTTTCTACGTCTCAAACGATACACTCCATAAGGACCTCTCTATTCCAACAGTTCAACTCGTAGCCAAAACTCTGTATAAACGATTCCACTCAAATCTCTCCAACCACCGCAATCCTCTAATCTCAAACTTATCTACCCTCAGCATTCCAGGTGACCCTGGAAGACGTTTAAAACGAAAATGGTGTCGGGACCTCCTGACTGAATAAAACCTATCCACAACTCCAAGAAGTACCATCACTGGATGGTTTCTTCGCTCAAATTATCTGTCTTTTTCTCTTTATTTTTATTTTTATTTTTATTTTATTAATCTACAACACTTACACTTATTGTAAAAAATAATATATTTACAGATTGTGTAATAAAACTAATTAAAAAAAAAAAAAAAAAAAAAGAATTCGATTGAAGCTAATGGATTTGATGATGATTTTCTATCATCACTTTCAGACACCGAATTTGAACTTGAAAATGTAGATATTGAAGAATCAATGATAGAAGTAGACTCTGTCTCATTGTCTTCATCTGTAACAAGTTTTGTAAATATTGGTTCAGTTATTTTATTATTTTAAGCAAATATTTAATAATATTTTAAATTTTTAGATAAACCAAGAATGTGCGGTTGTATTATGTAATCAAAATGCAAGAGACCAGTTTGATATCTTATTTTTCATCAACTTTCCAAAGGATAATAAGGCACTTTGTGAAACCTGGTGGAAAATTTGCGGGCGCAAAGACAAATTTGATCCTTTGTTAAAAATATGCTCAATTCATTTTGATCCTGAAGATTTTACATCTATTACTATACGACGAGACAGTCAACTTTTTAGACAAACTATTTTGAAGAATAATAATATTGTACCAACACTTTATTACTGTCACCTAACCTAACCTAACTATCACCTTAATAAAATACATTATTAATTAATAATAAATATATTATTTAGGCTATAGCGATAATTTATCAATTTGACAAAATATTTATTGTCTTGAAAAAATTATTTTAGTTCAACCAAAAAAGTAATTTGGATTATTATTGAAAAAAATTATTCATTATTTTTATTGTAAAAAATTGGCTGTATAAATATGTGATAAATTCATCATTATTACATATTGATTCCAAGAAGAAATCAGGATGTTTTCATTATGTAATCAGTAAATGTAAAACAATATTAATGCAAAATTATTTATTATATATATACTCCAAATATACACATCATTATAAGTATACAACAAAATAACATATTTTAGAACTTAGAAAAAAACTAAAGAAAATTTAAATGAAAAAAACTATAAACTTAATAATATAATACTTTGGTATTTAGATACATATATTTAACGAATACAATTAGTTTTATATATTTAATAAATTAATAATATTATGAATACCTATGTATATTTTAATATTGTGTATAACAAAACAACATAATACTTTATACTCGTTTATGAAAAATTAAATTATATATCATAAAATGGTGTGCTATGTACATTAGCGTAATTCCATTAAATTTCAGCAGGTGCACAACTTTTATTGGTCCAATATTCATAGAGACAAATTAAAATGCTCATATTTAAAACTGTTTTGCTTACATAGTTGCATACAATACTATATGGACTAGGTATCTTTTTATATTTGATAATAATATAACATATAATACAAAATATAAAATTAAAATATCAAAATCTGTAGGTATATTTTAAACCTGGGCTTGAAACCGATATTGGATACTGATTTTGAATAATAGTTGAAACCGTGAAAACCCGAAATAGATATCAAAACTGAAAACGAAATCAAAAATACCAGTTAGGAAATCGGAAAAAAATAAATAGGTACCGATATCCAAAACCAAAATCTAAATTTAGTCTTTATAATATTACGATATATTATGATACAATGAGGCACCTTTCAGCTACCTATATAATGAATTAGCGATCACGAAATTATTATACAAGTTATAACATTAAGTATTTTATTATTTGTACAGTTACCTATATGTAAATATGTTATAGCTTTTATAAGAAAATTCGAAAAATCAATAAGTATATAATATAATATGTATGATGTATTTCATATTATGAAATAGTACCTATTATAATTTAATAGGTATAAAGTTCAGCTTCTGCGGGTGCAAAAGAACATCTTTGCACCTCCTACATAATACCAGGGGTTCAAGTGCACCGTCGTGCACCCCCGTAATTACGCCACTGCCAATGTATATAAAAGTATGAAGTATAGATGTATAATTTCTTAACATTAAAAAATAGTACACAAAATAACATATTTTAGAAGTTGAATAAAAACATTGAAATAATTTAATAAGTTTTAAGAAAAACTAAAGAAATTTCATACAAAAAATTAATCAACAAGATAATATTAATTATTATACCTTAGCATTTACATACATAAATTGAACAAATATAATTAGTTTTAAATCTATATAACAAAATTATAGACAAAAATATTTTAATATCTTAGACTATATGAATGAATTTATTATTTTTGTTTCTTCAAACTATGTAACACTTGGGTAACTAATTGGTGTGGAGTATCATATTTAGTAGATATACCATAATAAAATGTTTGTATGAACATCCATACTGCACATGATTGCAGAGGATATTGTAAATTAAACAAATTAAAAAGTTTAAAACATACAATTATATATTATTATTATTATTACATATCAATTGCACGGGTAATATTAAAAACTTTATATTTTATCGAATCAAAGTACACTAAAATTTGGTTTGGTTTTAGTGGTGTACTAATTACAATGATAAAAGGCTGTATGGGTAATTTTTTATTTTTTAAATGTTCTAAATAATTTTCAGATTCACTGATTGAATTATTAAAAATAATAAAACTCTTCTGTGAATCCTTAATGGAATATTTTGTTACATTGTTCTTTCCTTTATCATCTTTGGTCGCTTTACGAGATGTTGGCACAAATAGAGAACTCAGCAGGTGGAAAAGTGTACAGTCTTTACCATCTAAATAACAGTTCATAGTTTGAGTTAATTTTTAAAATGGTATACAATAAAATTGAATGTTCGTATTACTTTGTGTAAGATCATTAGTTGTTTTGAGCTCTTGTAGTAACAATTTACCATCTTTATCTTTAAAGTTGCCGTCAACACTGTCACGAAAAAAGATTACACTGGCCAAGAAAATCGACGAAATCATAGACATCAAATCACCCGGTCCGGTATATCAAGCTGTGCCTTTAAACAAATACAAAACGAAAGCGCCCAAATACAGACTATATTGGGGCGCTTTCGTTTTGTATTTGTTTAAAGGCACAGCTTGATATACCGGACCGGGTGATTTGATGTCTATGATTTCGTCGATTTTCTTGGCCAGCGTAATCTTTTTTCGTGACAGTGTTGACGGCAACTTGTAAACGTTGGACCCAGGGTTGTCGGCTCTCTTTAACAAACGTATATATGCACACAATAAGAAATCAACTTTATACATAACTACATAAGTAGTAAATTATATATAATATACAGGCGAATAATATTATACTAATACAGTAATACACGATAGATCTTATAAATTAAAATATGAAATATGAATCAATTGTGTATTTTATAATATATGAGCATATTGGGCATATGAAAAGTTTAAACATTTTCCCTGTCACAATCGAAAAATGTATGTATTTATGAATTTCTTTTCATTTAGAAATCTGATTAATCTTCGTTTTGAAATTAATGAAAAAAAAAAGTATACTTTCATGCTAAATATTTGGGGATTTCAGGATTTGTGATACACAAATCAGCGTTGACTCCACTCTAAAAAATGAATCATGATATAAACTTATCATTAAAATAGAAGATATTTTTACAAAGTTAGTTAGATTGTGAGTTTCACACTATAGTTGACGTATAGTAGGTATATACCTAAAAACTATTTATTATCGAACTGGGTGTTCAAGACCTGCTATAACTCAAAAAGTACTGTTTTCAGGGGACCGATTTTAAAATTTGTTATAATAAAAAACCATAATATTTTATGTCATGGCAATATGACAACTCTTTAATGATCAATATTTGACCAATTTTTATTTCGTTCTTGAATTGAAATTGTTTTGAAAAAAGGAAATCAATAATGTTTGTACCTAGTTAACCAGATGTGTCCAGATGGCACACCTAGTAATTTAAAATTAAAATAATTATAATAATAGTATATTTTTGTCGTTACGGGATCCGGGTTGATTATCCGAAACAGCATCTTAGGTACCGGACCCTTGACCGGGACTCTAGGCTTGTACGCCGCTGGTCCCGGGTTGTCCATATCGCCGTCGAAAGGCAGTTTCTTGGCAATGCTGTACCGTAGTGGTGCCACGGCTCGACCACGGTACGTCAGCTGCGCCACATTGTACACTGCCGGCCCTGCCCCCTCGGTCTCGTTGCCTAAGTCCAGTCGCTGATGCACCGAGCACGCTGGTTTCCGGAGAAAGTTATTCTCGTTAAAAAGGAGCGTATATTAAAATAATATAGTATAATAAAAGCACCTATAAATATATTGTAAATACATTGTGTCGACGTGGAAACGAACGTTTACGAAACCAATCGTTTTTTGTATATATATATATAGTTACTAAGTATTATTATTTTGATATAATATTTCAACAACAGCGAGTAAAAATTATTCGGCTGGAATTATTCCGTCTTTAAAATATAAACGGCAATACGGGGCACATTAAACGGTTTCAATTCTAATCAATTTAAGTACGCGCACATTTCACACTACAACTCCTTGCTGATTAAAATTGATGATGGCGTGAAAAAAAAAACACTCAATATTTGTAAAGAAACGGAGGGTATCCGGTTACGTGTCTTGCAGGGGCGTGCTCAGCTTTTTCCAATGGGGGGAGGGGATGAACCGTATTTTGTTTTGTTGATTATCATAGACACAAAATGTTCTTATCGGTATATACGTTGGTATTTTAGAAGTAGGTTGATATATTATATTATATTATATACATATACCTACCTACTATTGTTATTCTAAAATTATCACAGAAAACTTTAAAACTATATTCTATATAGCTAAACATAAAATTCAAAATGTATTAATGTTTTATATATGCGGACATGTTAAAATTATGGGTCTAAAGACCTAAATTACAAATTTAAGTTTTCTTGGTTTCTTAGCCATTTCATCTAAGACTTCATCTGGAGTAACGCTTATATTTTTATGAACTGCCAATAGCGTTAATCAATTCAAACGGTCCTAAAATAAAATGTAAGTATATATTCAATTTCGGTTAAACTAATAAGTTGAAGAGTATTTTACTTCAAGCATTGAGTTTCTTGTGTATGTCTTCACCCTCTTTAATGTTGAAAATGTTCTTTCTGGGGTGGATGTTGAAACGGGTAGGACACATACAATTTTTAAAAGCTTATTCAAATTTGTATAAATAGAGGAACTGCAAATTTGGAGAGCATCTAGGCCAGTTTTAATGACTTCAGAATTTTCCAATAATTTTGTTCGCCAGATTTTTAGTTCAGCTAAACTGTTGTCTTTATTTATGTGTGGTGAATAAAAACCTGCCAGATTTTTAAAGAATTCAATTTCACTTGTATTTAAAAACTGATTTTTTGAAAAAATAGTCTCAAATCCTATACTATAGTACCAACCACAAACTAAAATATACTAGATATAACTAGATAAGATAACTTAGTTCGTGGTACCAACTATATATATTTTATATCTTTGATAATTACTACATAATTAACAAATTAAAACCAATTATGCATCACCTTTTTTTTTCGAAAAAAGCGAATCAAGCAAGAAACTTAAGTAAATGCATAAAAAAAAAGTTCATGGGGGGAGATATGACACCCTCATCCCCCCCCCCGTGAGCACGCCCCTGGTGTCTTGAATTTCGCATCAACAACTTCGTTAACAATAACGAAAATAACAATCTCGTGAGAATTTCAAGCACATTAAAAAAAAAAAATAAACTTTTTCTGCAAAAAAATTGTTTTTTAAGGAAATAAAAGAAGGGAAAAATAATTTTTTAAAAGAAACGAGTAGGTAGTAGTAATCGTGTATTAGTAGTAGTTTTAATCGATCGTGCGGAATCGCTTCCGATAAGATGATTAATGATGCGACGACAAAAGGCGAATATTATGGAGAAAAAACGCACCCGGCTCGGTTTTATTATTATCATTATTATTTTTTACCCACCGCGTGTAACGCCGCCGCCGCCCCGAGAAAATCGATAATCGATCAGCATCAATGTCATCGGTTTCCGCGGCGTTCACCCCTTTTCGCTTTTTCATTTCTTTCGATTTTCGTTCCGGCCACGTATATACGTACGAGTTGCGATAATTATTATTGTCGTCGAGTCCCCGGGAAATACGCGCAGGGTGCGCGTTTTGTTTTTATATAATATATATTAATTTTTTTGCAATCGCGAATGACACGCGTAACGAAAGAGTTAAATGATTGACGACTCCGGGACAATTATGTACGCGGACCGCATTTATTTATTTTTTCGCACCACTCGTTCCTTTTCCGGGAGTTAATTTTTTCGGAAACGAAAAAAAACGATTAAAAAACTACGGGCGTATTTCCCCTTTGGCTCCCGCCGAATCGCGCTGCTAATGATTTCCGCCGCCGCCGCCGTTTTCCCAGGGTTTTGTGTGTTGTCACGCATCGCGCGATTTCAAACGGCCGGCAACAAGTCGCTACCTCTACCGCCGCCGCCGTCACCATCGCCACCACGAAATCACGTGTCGTATTCATACATACATAATAATATTATCTCGTTTGGAAAATGTTTAAGTGATAAAAATAATTTTTATTGCTTCCGATTGTTTTTCAATTATTATAGAATTGTTCGATTCCACTCACTCTCCCTCAGTCTCACACCTGTATAATAAAATAATACAAATAATAATTATAATAGTAATAATGTGTATATACTACGTGCAGTAAAACTTGGCTCAGTTTACTCACTTTAACGATATCCGAGCGAAAACCGGTCGATTTTAAATTTTAATACTCAGACTTACTATACGGCCCCTCCCGCGACGTTGGCTGCACTCCGCCCGCCACCCGGACGGTGTTCAATGTTCATATTATACTTTTCTTTAATCGCTATTTGCTAAATAGTAAATTTATTCATTTCGTATTGCTTTGCGTCACATTTATATATTATATGCGAGCAGACTACCTGCAGCGTTCAATAATAATAATATTGAAGTGTTTCGGCCGAGTTTGTTGTCGTTAAATCTATCAAGTCATACTCATTTGACCGGCCAGTGTGATGATGGTTTTTTTATATCGCACAGTAAATTCAGTAAATAAATGATACAACCCGAATAAGTGACTGTCAATTGCTGGTCCGAAAACCCTAAAAAAGCCCATGTCATATAAAACCCACCACCAAATATACAGAAGTAAAACGTTGTTATGCTGTAGTCTCGAACGTCGCAAATACATGCATATTATTTAGTTTTAAACTCGTTTTATCATCGCTCGATATTGTTTTTGCCCAATCAACGAGCATGAAAAGTATCACACTGTTATGAATAACGAATATAATGTGCGTGTATACGTAATGGGCAAAAATGTAGACGCGACAAAATTATGGTCACGCGGCGTTTCGTATAGGCTATTCAAGTACATTAAACTGTCCCCAGTCGGTCTGGTTTACCCATATGTTGTACATATTATATGGTGTAAAGTTGTATACGTCATCAAAGTACGACACGATGTAAGTGAGTGAGATGAATTCGGTGTTATATACCCTATAATGAGTCTATGTATTATAATAGACTACATGGCCAAATCCTTATATATATAAAAGAACAGGCCTTTTTATGTACCAATTTTGTGACGACGCTATTTAACTTTTTTCCAATTTTTTTTCACAAAGTTGTTCCAAATACCTTCGTGAGTGTCACCACATCGCCCGATTTTCAAAATTTTGATTTTAAAGGGTTGAAATTGGCAAAAATAATGTTTTACGTGTAATTTGTAATAATGTATAATATAAACAAATAATTAATAATTAATAATAATAATATTAATAATTCACAAACACCATCTGGTATGCCTCCTCATAAAATATCACTGAAGGTGGGGTTTCCAATCATATTATTGTGAAATTTGAACTCTCCTAGATTATGTAACGGGACTAGGCTTCGTGTCACCTCTCTTACAAA